TGTTCAATGATCGCACTTCTTATTGCTCCAATTCCACCTTTTCGTAACCATACAGGATAGTGTTCTTGCACCCTCTTGGACAAAACTCGAGTCGAACGACCGATATACCTAGCTCTACACGAGCAGGTGAATTGATAAACGCACACAGATTTGATCAACAGCGGGATCTTGTCCTTCAGGTTATTGAACAGTAATGGTCGACTAGTAAAGGCTATTCTCAGAGATGCAGCAGGGAATGTTCTTTTCAGGGACTGTGATATCCTTCTTTTCATAATATCGGAATTCCAAGTTGATGTACAGTATTTTTTGGGTACGGATGATAAGTCACATTTCATAGGATTTGACTGTATATTCTTGTCTATAAAACGTGGTGGAAATCCATTTTCTATTAAGATTTCCCTCAAAAGAATTAACTAATCATCCACAGTATCAGAGCTACATATTCGCCGAATGCCAGTGGCAAGCGACCAGACCAGGTTTCGTTTTCGACCAATGGGTACCCAGCTGTAGAAATTTGTCAGTTGACCATTCCATGACAGCTTTCGATAAATCGATCTTTTCAGGGTTCCATCGGTCCTCCTTGATAAGTTCACATTAGATTAGTCATGATGTAATTATATATTGTTATTATTATTAATATTATTTTTCCCTTGGGTTCAGAGTGGAATGTAGGCCTTCAACAGCACATCTCCACTTTGTCGTATTCTCTGTTGTCCTCTTTAGTTGGCCCCACCGCTGCCCATAGTCTCTTATCTCCTAGCCACACGATCCCTTCTATGTTACCCTTGGAGCTACTTCCAACTGGTTGTTTCCTATTTGGGTTTTATTCGAACAATGGACTGGCGCGTGATGTCATCCGATGGTCTTCTTAGCGTGTGCCCAATTCTTCTCCATTTTATTTGCGATATTTCTTGAGCGACAGGTTCTCAGTTGGTTTGTTCCGAGGGTTTCTTGCCGCCAATTCCTTATCGCCATTTGGTCTTCAGCATGGAAACAGCGGAAGCCTATTTCAATTGCTTTTCGTGACGTGTGAGCCAAATTTCTGACCCATATAGAAGGATTGACTGACTTAATATTGGTGTTGAAAATCCGAATTTTTTTCTTTATGCTGAGTTCAACAGATTTAAAAACCGATTTCGGAGTGGGGGAAGGTGTACATTACCTTTCCTCTACTGCCTTTGATATCTTCATTCGTACTATCCGCCTGTAGTTGAAACGATGCTTCTTAGCCATATAAATGAAGGAAATGATCTCTTTTTAATTACTTTGTTTGATAGAGATTGGTTCTGTTCGTTGTTGTTGTTGGTTGGTTGGTTGGTTTGTTATCTCCATCACCTCCGTCCTCTCCATGTTCACCTGAAGTCCCGTCTTCGCTGTTTCTTCAACCAGTTTGTTGGTTTTCACCCGTTTGTGTAACATCAGACATATATCATCCACGAAATACAGATCTTCTGGGGTCTTTCTTTGGATACAGAGTACTCCTGCCTTCTCGCCATCCACAGTCTGACGCATAATATAGTCTACCACAATTAGGAATATCATAAGTGATGATGGGCAAACTTATGTCATGATGTAATAGTTCTTGAACATCAGCCTCTAAAGTAGAATCTTACAGAATGTTATTGTTATTATTATTGTTCCCTTGGGTTCCTAGTGGAACATAGGGCTTCAACTGCACGTCTCCACTTGCTTCTGTCTTCTGCTGTGCATCCATGTTAGTCCATACTGTTTCATCTCCTCCTCACACGATCGCCTCCATGTCACCCTTGAACGTCCCACTCGCCGCTTCCCTTTCGGGTTCCACTCGAGCGTTGGCCTGACGCACGATGTCACCCAACGGCCTCCTCAGCGAGTGTCCAATCCATCTACACTTTCTCCTGCATATTTGTTGAGTGATTGGTTCTTGTTTTGTTTGTTCCCATAGTTTCTTGTTGGTGATTCTTTCCGGCCATTTGATCTTCAGTATATAACGAAGACAGCTGTTGATAAAGGTTTGCAATCTGTTGGAAATATTCTTTGTGACCCACCAAGTTTCTGATCCGTATAGAAGAACTGACTGACTTGACGTTTGTATTGAAAATCCGAATTTTGTTGTTGATGCTGAGTTGAGTGACGAAGATTTCCAGATTGGTTTCAGGTTGATGAATGTGTTTCTCGCCTTCCCGATTCTCGATTTGACATCGTCGTCCGTTCCTCCTGTAGTTGATACAATGCTCCCTAGATAAGTGAAAGAAGTAACCTCTTTCAAATCCCTCCCGTTGATGGTGATTGGCGCTGGATGTTGCTGTTGTTGTTGTTGGTTGGTTATTTTCATAATCTCCGTCTTGCCTATGTTCACCTGGAGTCCTGTCTTCACTGGCTGCTTCTTCGACCAGTTTGTCGGTTTTCGCTTGTTTACAGAATGTTCCTTTTTGGTTATTCTCTCCGAGTTACTTTGTCTTATTTTGAAGTCAGGGAAATGTATAGGCTTTCCAAATGATATTCACGAGGCCCTCGAGTAGAAGTGAAGGGTTTGGAATATGTCTGACGCAGAGCATGTGATGATGACGATGATGAGGAGATGAAATCTTGTGGACAGTTGTGGAGTCATTCGAAAGTGACAGCAGAAAACACAGTGGAATAGAAATAAACCACTGGACCGCCATTTTGCACTAGGAAGGCAAGCAATAAATACACCCAAGGAATGTTATTCAGGTGAAGTGGAGTGAACGATGCCACATACTACTGGTTAATTTATTTAAGTAGTTGGAAATCACACACACATCAACCAACCAGACAGAAGTGGCCTAACTACTAGGCGGATGTCTCGCTAGTTTTCAGACCGAGTTCGTCATCTGTGTACCTTGTCTGACTCGGCCCAGCCTGTTGAATCAGTTCAAACCACACGGACTCTGACTAGCTACTTAGGCGAACTGGTGTCACATTAAATCACTCTCAGAATTTGCAAATTAATTTGCGAATTGTGATTTATATAGTCCAGTGTAATAAAGTGTGACGCATCTACGTTTACGTTCTTGGTTACCATTTATGTTATAAAGCAGATTATATATCTGCGTCGGTAGCACAGCGGTTAAGACTCTCGCTGACCATGCACATGGTACAGAGTTCAGTCCCCTGCAGACGCACACCTGATATCAATGTTAGGCCTGCAAACTTTGGCCTACCGATATCACATGCTGAAAATTCCATACCAGAACCGAAAATACCGTGTGGACTCAAGCTATAATCAAAATCAAATAAAGTATATTGCGATCTAAACAGTTTCGGTTTATGAAGGAAACTGAGGTAAAATTTCACCCCGAATTGTGTACACCACTAACCGCAAATTAATTTGCAAATTGCGAATTAGATTAAATATAGATAGATAGATGGAGAGATTGATTACTAATCCTTGTTTGTAGAATATACGTCTAACACATTTGTAGAATATACGTCTAACACATGACATAGGGGTGATGCAGATTCGATCTCAGAGATATGAAGATTATGACTACAAATCGAGGCGAAGGAGAAGAAATATTAGAATTCATATTTTAAAAAATGAGCACCTTAAGATGATTATGAGCAATAAATTGTGTTCAAATGTTGGTTTGTAGGGATTTGATTGATTGGTTACAGGATTTCATCATGAGCTGACATTGGTTAGAGAACCATTGGAAAACCTCCTGGGAGTACCGGACAGCTGTTTCGTCCTAGTGTGGGACCCTTCATCAGTACACCCCCACCACAGGGTTTCGAATCCAGGTTTTCCAATGGTTCTCTAAACAATGTCAGCTCATGATGAAATCCTGTAACCAATCAACCAAATGCCTACAAACCAGTACTTGAAAATCAATGAGATGCTCGCTAGCGACTGACCCTATTCAGGTAGGTATTTATCTGAGGTTCTAGTGGGAAGTCGTGACCATTAGGGTGCGGCGGGTCGGGTGTGAGGACAATTACTCGCCACGGATGACATTCGCTATTGGTCGCGCTATGTCATGAATTGGCAAAAGTTAGAATCCATGGTCTGGCCATTGGATCGGGTCCCAGTGGCTCAATGGTCTACGAGCTCGCCTTGTAACCAGTAGGTCCTGGGTTCGAACTATGTCTGTTGGCGTGTACTGTGCTGAAGAGTCCCACACTAGGATGAAACAGGTGTCCAGTACTCCTAGGTGGCTTTCCAATTGTTCTCTAAACAATGTCAGCTCATGATGAAATCCTGTCAACAATAAATTGTGGTCGAAACATCATCAGCAAGCAGTACAGAATTATTCTGCGGAATTTTTTCTTCCAGACAGAGGTATGTTATGATGAGTGTAGACTGCGTCTCTGCGTTAGTCAAGACTCTAAGAATCAGCGTCTGGATACTGTTGGTGATATGGCTCTGAATCTTTCTAAAAGCGCACATGTATTTATTTTGTATTATCATCCATATTTATTTTAGCCTCTTCGCCTTTCTTCTCTTCCATTACTGTACCTTTATAAAAGACATGGCACTTTGAGCAGATAAATTTTAATACTCAGTTCTGAGTTGATAATTCACTTCAGTCCTTTCAATTGAACGTAAAACTGAGCATGAGTTGCAGAAGTATCATCTTTTCACTATATGCGTAAGAATATTTTTCTAAATAAATATTGACTGTTATGCGGGGGACAGAACTTGTTAGATGTTTGGAAGCGACCGGTCGGGGAAGCTCTATAACTGATTCTCGTGGCTGTTAGTACTCGTCACCATGCCATATCTGCGATACTGAGGGGGTGGATGTTCCCTAAGAGATTCAAATCCGCCTTACCCAGAGCTGCAGTCACAGATATTACCATCGAATTATTCGGACTCATGGTTGACCCTAACTGGTCACTGGGAAGTAACCAATGTCATTCATCTGGTCCTCAATGTTAGTACAGACTGATTCCTATCGACCAAATCTCCAAGGCAGTCACCAAGTCAGTGGACTTGCCATCCAAGGAAACAATATATATATATATTATCTGTGCAAAATGTAGTAACTTTCACTTACTTGTGAACGTAAACACCTGATAGATTTTTCAATCCCATTAATTAATATACTTCTTTGTTTTATATCACTGAATATAACTTCCAGTGGTTTAACATTCATTGTTTTCAGTAAACTTTGTATAATATTTGTAGCTTTATTCTGATCTTCCCAATTATCTGATATTAAATAATCAATAATTTGTTCTTCGACTTTTTTAAATTGTCCCGCTTCAATTGGTGTTGACAATGTTCTAGCTTTTTTGATTTTTTGACTCTTTGGAATTTTCTTTTCAATCTGTGAATTACTCGTATATCTCTCTTGATAGGATTCTGGGTAGCGTGTCGACTTTTTATGTTCTGAAGTTTTTTGTTTATTTAAACTAAGTGATAAGATAAAATATTGAGCGGAATTTTTAAAATTCTATTAGATTAATATTATTACTTTATAAAAGAAGTCTGGAGTTTATGCTTATTGACTTTTCAATATATTAAATATAATCCCAGAGTAAAGTTTAGAACAACACACATTTAAGCGAACAATATTGTTGTTTTCAATTAGATCTCATCAGGCTTAATTAACTCTAATATACATAAGTTTACAAATAAAAATTCAAATATAAACCAATCATGGTGTTTTGTCTATAGGATAATAAGATGGTGAATATAAATTGTGAAATTAGTTATAATAATAATACTTTTATCAATAATAAGGACGAAAAGTGAGGCGATCTGTGATAACACGAATAATGAAAAACAGCCTGATTAAACAAACAAATGTTCAGATAGACGTAGTAGTCCATAAAGGCTAAGAAAAACAAATGAACCGATTAAGTAATGCTAGATTGTAATGGAAGTAAATGAAATACATTTTTAATAAAGATGTGATAAGATTAAGGGTTGATAAGAGAGGAGGGGTTGAAAATATAAGTAAGGGTTGGTGGCGAAGTCATCAGTTGGTTATGTCTTAATAGGCCAAGGGAAGGATAATGGCTGTACGAACTTCTTCTGAATGCATAGTTTAGGTTTAATACTTCGAATGCCTATCGCCTCAGCTCTGTGCAGTAGACGAGTACGAAGTCTATAGGAAAGATTTGGTGAGATGCGATAAATTACCTTGAAAGCTCTCGTTTTCTCCACTACATGACCACTATCAATTAAATGTGATGTGACAAAATTGAGCTACGGATTGTTTTTGTCTGTCCTTAGCCAAACCACGATGGGAGGTGTTCACTAACACGTTGGCTAAACTGTCTAGTAGTGCGCCCAATATAACTGTCACAGCAGGTACAGTTGAATTGATAAATGCACATAGATGTGGCAAAACTATCTAGCTTATCCTTCGTTTGCATCCCAATCATTTGTTGGCTAGAGAATGACAAACACAGCATAGGTATGCTGCGCAGAAAACGTTCTTTGTATATTCCTGGAAGGTCTCTGGAATAAAATCTCACTTGATAAGTCACCATTAAATTGTAACTTAATAAATAGAGGTTTCTTACGTGCAGTCACAGTCTCAGATTGTTTCTCTGATGCTTTCATATGTTTTTACCAAACATAGGTATTTTATGATGAGTGTAGACTGTGTCTCTGCGTTCGTCAAGACGCTAAGAACGAGTGTCTGGATACTGTTAGTGACATGGCTCTGAATCTTTCTAAAACGTGGAGATTTATTGATTTTTTATCATCATCGAGATTTATTTTAGCCTCTTCTTTTATCATCAAACTTTATGGGGAAGCTAGTGGAAATTCGTGTCTTTTTTTGAAAGATTCTATCTCATAAGCAACAATGATTTTCAGATCTTCCCTATCTTTATATTGATCAAGTTGGGAATGAGATCAAAACCAAGTTGTCAGTGGGGGTGGATTACTTGAAGGTTTTAGATAAGATTTAGGGAAGAAAAGGATAACAAAGAGAAAATCTAGGTTATATGCAGCTTGATTTCGATTTTTAACAGTAAAAAGGTAGATTCACTATCATTTCAAATTCATATTATCCTTGATCAATAAAATTTGATCACGAATTAAGAGTAGATAGTGACAATAATGATTATCCAGGAGCTGGTTCATTTATTGAATCAATATATTTTAAAGTCATTGCCTATTCAAACGTCAAGTTCTCTATGGAATTTAAAGTCAAAAATCAGCTACATAGAAAGAAAAGAATACGGGACAATAAGAAAAGGAGCATTCTCTGCAAAACAACTTGAAGTGGTCAATACCTAAACTTCACCAGCTTTTCTGCCACAACCTGCTTGAGAAATTTAGTAAGGATAGTATGTGAAACAAACTTTAGAAAACAAAATCAGTCTCATCAACGTGTGTGTACTGCAAACGTGGCAGGTGAAAGTTAGAGTAAAGTACTGTCAAGGAGAAACCAGTTTTCCAGTCAGTACTGTTGGACACGTGCTCAAGAGCCCGTGTCTTAGAAGTTCATTCTCGTCTAAAACACCACAACTCAGCGCCCGGCTTATACAAGCTACTAAATCAACACATCAAAAACTTTTAAGGCAATGAACAGACAAAGCATCATACGACAACTTCGAGTTGTTGGAGATGTCACCATCTGAAGAGTGAGAAGTGGATTATGCCTTTAAACAGAGACTTTTACTAACTTACTACTATGTTCAGAAGCACTGAGTCTTTTAACTTATCCCTCTAATATTCAGGTGTTGGTTTGTAGGGATTTGATTGGTTACAGGATTTTCATCATGAGCTGACATTAGTTAGAGAACCATTGGAAAACCTGGGAGTACTGGACAGCTGTTTCGTCCTAGTTTGGGACTCCTCATCACCTTCACCTTCTTGTAACCAGAAGGTCCTGGGTTCGAATCCCGGTGGGTGCGTACTGCTGATTATCCCTCTAAATTTTATTTCATTTTATAATGTAATATGATATCCGCACTCATCCACCTTCTTACTAATTTTATTACTATCTTTGCAACGAAGGCCTGATGCAATTGGAGCCTATCTCGCTCAGGATAATGACCGCCAGATTCAACTCCAAAGGAAGGAAAGTGTCAGTTATACAATGCTATGCACCCACAAACAACGCAGACCTCGAAAAGAAAGAAGAATTCTACAGACAACTATAGGGCGACAATAGACAATACTCCAGTCGGCGACATTAAAATACTAATAGGAGACATGAACGCCTAACTGGGACCAGACAACACAGGAAGAGAACTCATCATGAGTAGAGAAGCTCTCGGAGAAATGAATTAAAACGGAGATCTCTTCGCTGACTTTTGCGCCTTCAATGAACTAGTGATTGGTGGCAGCGCATACAAACACAAGGATATCCACAAGGCTTCATGGATATCACCAGATGGGCGAACCAAAAGCCACAATGACTTCATCTCAATCTCAAGGAAGTGGAGAAACAACAGACGTAAGCTTAGGCCACTATGTCGTACAAGGAACACTCCAAATCAAATTAAAAACTTTCAAAGAAACAGGAGCTGCAGATAGACCACACGCCAAGTTCAATACTCAAAAAATGAAGGATCAGGATACAAAGGATATCTTCACTGCAATCATAAGGGGAAAATGCGGAGGCACGAATCAACACAAGCGAAGAGGTCAGCGTTGAAAAGCACTGGAACAACCTGAAAGCGGTGTGGAGTCAAACCTGTATGGAAGTTCTGGGCAGAAAGAAGAGACAGGATAAACATTGGCTCACTACAGACACACGGAGACTAATAGAAGAGAGAAGAATGGTGAAACAAAAGATTATCCAGTGCATAGACGAACAACAAAAACAGTAGTTGAATGCAAGCTACAATACACTGAACAAAAGAGTAAAGAAGAGTGCTAGGGAAGACAAAAGAAAATATTATGAAGCTATGGCAAGTGAAGCAGAACAAGCTGCAGGCAAAAGAGACCTCGTAACACTCTACCAAACAACTAGGTTCCTATCGGGCAAAAGTTCGACACAAATTAAGCCAGTGAAGGATGACAATGAAAAGCCAATCACCAAAGAGGTGGAGCACAGCAAACACTGTGCTGAACACTTCAAAATACTTCTGAATCGACCGCCACCTACAACGCTCCCAATAATACCGAGAGTGGAAGCAGAACTACCAGTGGACATCAACCCTCGGACGAGAACACAAATTCTGAAGAAAATAAAGGTGCATAAAACGGGAAAAGCCGCAGGACCAGACGGAATACTAGCGGAAACATTGAGAGTGGGCCCAGAGACATCAGCTAACTTGATGACACTCCCACTGGAGGAGGTGTGGAAAGAGGGCAATGTACCTGAGGATTGGAAGAAAGACTACCTATTCAAACTGCCAAGAAAGGGGACTTAAGTCAATGCAAGAACCGGCGTGGCATTATGCTACTGTCCATCCCAAGCAAAATACTAAGCCGCATCATCCTGGAGAGAATCAAACATGCCTTGGATGAAAAACTTCGACCGGAACAGGCTGGATTCACGAGTAACAAGTCATATATTGATCAAATCGTCACACTACGTGTCATCATTGAACAGAGCTTGGAATGGCAATCACCTCTCTACCCCAACTTCATCGACTTTGAAAAAGGCATTTGATAGCGTCGATCAAGAGGTGCTTTGGCAACTACTTCGCTACTACGGGTGCTGCCGACAATTATACATCTCATAAAACAGTTGTACGGCAATGCTGCATGCCAAGTAATCCACAACGGGAAACTCACGGAATCCTTCGAAGTGAGGACAGGAGTAAGACAAGCTGGCTGCCTACTATCTCCAATGATTTTCCTGATTGCGGTAGATTGGATAATGCGACAGACAGCGGGCAATGAGGAAACAGGCATAAAATGGACCCACACAAAAACTTGGAGGATCTGGACTTCGCCGATGATACTTGTCTCATTACCCACAAACTGGAAGATATGAGAGTGGAAAGCAACAAGTTGATAGAAGAAACATCCAGAGAAAATAGGACTTCAGGTGAACATAGATAAAACAGAGGTGATGATGAAGATTCATGGCCAAAAGCAACTACAACAACAGACAGAAATCAGCACAAGTGGGAGGAATCTGAGTGAAGCAACCTCCTTCACCTACCTACCTGAGAAGCATCGTTTCAACTACAGGCGGACGGAACTGACGAGGATATCAAAGCAGCGAAAATCGGGAAAGCAAGACAAGCCTTCATTACTCTCATGTCTGTGTGGAGATCAACACTCAGCATGCAAAATGATCGCCGGATTTTCAACTCCAATGTGAAATCAGTGCTACTTACTATACGGATCATACACTTAGTGCCGTGCCATGAAGACCACTTCGAACAAACTACAGACCTTCATCAACAGCTGTCTTCTCTCAATACTACTCAAGATCAGATGGCCGGTCAGAAAACATCAGCAACAGGGAGGGATCTCTGACAATGAACGAACCAACCAACCCAGCAGGAACCAATTGTGCAATAAATATGCAGGAAGAAATGGAGGTAGGTGGATTGGAGGCCATACTCTGAGAAAACAAATCATCAAGTGACATCACAAGACAGACCATCGCTTGAGTGAAACTCGAACGGTAAGTGGTGAGTTGGTCGTCAGTGTGAGTGTGATATGCAGGATGTGATGTGAAGAGAAAATGAAAGCGTTGTTGGAGAACTGAACACAATGGAGATGTGCGGCTGAAACCGTATGTCCCTCTAGGAACTAAAGGAAACAATAATAATAATTGTGATTTTCGGTTCCTCTCGTTTTGCTTGATTACGTAATCATCGCAACTTATGTGTGTATCGCCAATAGACTCTAGGACATTCTTCTACTCACAGCAATAGAATATCTCCATTTTCGTCATAATTGATTGCTCTGACTTCCTGTGTAGTTTGTACATTGTCTCCATTTTTTGATATGTTATTGTTCCCTTGTGAAATGACGGCTATTCATTTAAAATGCCTCTAAATTATGTTATATCGATTGCTTATGTATCTATATAGTATTCAGGTTATATTGTAGCGACAGAAGACAGGGCCCAAGCAGTAGATCGTCCATTGAGAAAATCAACAGATATTTATACACTTTCATGTACATTATTATTCGTTATTGTAAGCACAGAAGCAACGTCTTCTGACTGGTTGTTTTCTGGCTGAAAGTTATTCTGCACTGCTCGTGACCGTTTCTTAGAAAGTTAAGCCATATATCTACGAATCGTGTTTGCACACTGTAAGTCTGCTGTGATTAGTTGCTGAGTTCCTCAAGGTTAAGCTTTGTTACTGTTTTTTTCTTATGATCCCGATTTAGGACGTAGACATTGACATAAATGTTTGTCTACAATTTCTCTTGCAAACAGCTCTCACCACAATATGAAGGTGGTGAAAACCTTATTAAATGAAATCATATTATTTTCAAGTATTAGTTTGTAGAGACTTGATTGATTGGTTACAGGATTTCATCATGAGCTGACATCAGTCAAAGAAGTACTAGAAAACCTGGGAGTACTGGACAGCTGTTTCATCCTAATTTGGGACTCTTCATCAGTACGCACCCTCCACCAGAGGGGTTCGAACCCAGGACCTTGTGGTCACAAGACTAGCGAGCTAGCTTGTAGATCATTAAGCCACTCGGACTGATGAAGAGTCCCAAACTGGTACGAAACAGCTCTCCAGTACTCCCAGGTTTTCAAATGGTTCACGATGAAATCCTGCTACCAATGAAATCATATGATTCTACAAGAACTGTTCTTATTGTCCTCTTCAAATACAAACTGCCTTTATTACTGTTTATGCCTCTTTGGCTTCCAAGTGGAATATACAGCTTCAGCAGCACATCTTCACTGCACTCAATTCCCAAGCGGCACAACACCATTTCCTGTAAGTTTATATTTCCCTCTCATCACAGTATCTCCTGCATGTGTCACCCTTGGACCCACCTAACTTGTTGTTTCCGATTAAGCTTTGACACGACGGCTGATTGGTATGTTGTGTCTCTTCAGCGTATTTCCAGTTATTTCCATGTCCTGAGCAATCGTGCTCACAGGTTTGAAGGAAAGCAAGGCTACCTTGTCAAACTGTGACCTAAGTCTATTGAAGGACTGGAGCAGAATTGTGCTGCTGTCCAGTCCAAGCAAAATATTAAACCGCATCATCCTGGAAAGAATAAGCTAAGCCTTATATGAAAGGTTCAGGAACAACAAGTTATGTGCAGCCAAAAATTACAACACTGCGCCTCGTCATCAAACAACGAATAGAATTACAATTGACGTTGTAGCTCGACTTGTTCGCTTTGAAAGGTCTTCGATAGCGTCAACTGTATTTCAACAGTATGGAATGCAGTGCTGCAAACATTTATGAGCCTCATTCAACAACTATATGACGATGATGATGCTACGTGACAAGTTATTCACAACGTATAGGTCATTGGGGCGTTTCAAATGAAGACAGGAGTGAGACAAGGTCGCCTTCCATTACTGATGACCTTCTGAAGTGTGATAAGCTGGATCTTGCAGTCGAAAGCGGGTAGTGAGAAGACAGGCATGCTCAACAACTTCCGAGAAATCCCATACAAACATGGGACAACTGCATCCAAAGGACCTTAACAAAGCTCACCAAAACTGGACAGATCACAAAACAAGACCAATGGCGAATGAAATCCAATGGACCAGTCCTATTTCGATTCTACAGCAGACCCGAAATGCACAAGCTAACTGTCCCCTCACGACCAATTGTATCACTCCCAGGAACTCAAACATATAATTTATCCAAGGAATTATAGAAAATTAACTCACACGGACCAAATACTGAATGGCAACAGCAACAATCTAATAACACACAAAAGGTATTGCATACAAACACTATTCAAGAGGGCCAGCCAAGACTCATTGCAGCACTCCAACCTTAAGGAAAATTAAACAAAGATATCTCATGGACGTCTTCTAGAAAGAATGGATATCCACGGAATTTCATCAAAGGATATCCATTCCCAAGCCAACCTATCAAACCTAAAGCCCCCAAGGAAATCACAAGGAAAATCGCCCTACCATATATAAAGGGTATCTCAGAAATCACTGCAAGACTTTTCAAACCTTTAGGAAATGAAGTCGCGCACAAACAAGTAAAATCACTTCACTCAGCTCTTTGCCAACCAAAAGACTCAACAACGGAAGAGGATAAAACCAACATCATCTACAAAATAAATTGTAACAAATGCGAAAAACACTACATTGGCCAAAGTGGACGTCCCCTTCGTCTTCGTATCCACGAACATAAACTAGCTGTCAAAAGACACGACATTCACTCCCTCCCTGATATCGCCACATACAGACAACCACGGACATCATTTCGACTGGGACAACCAATGTTCATATATTAGACAGAGGAAACACTAAGAATGCTAGCCAGAGAATTCTTAGAAGCCCGCCAGGTATTCCAGTGAATCATCAGTCAATAGACACTTGAAGATAGACAAAATTTATCAACCGATAAGAAGGAAATGTCATACATAAAGGGTCAAAGTTCAAGTCAAAGAAACAATCAGTTCCAATACAAGAAGCATGTAGGGTGTGAAAACACACACACACACAACCAAAGAGTCACGTTCAAGGTGGTTACCAGGAGAGATGACTGATAAACTCGTGGAGAAATCTAAAAGCTCACTTCAATTCAAATTGAAGTGAGTTATGTGTTGAAGATGTTGTTTAGTAGTATTGCAATAATGAAAGCTTCGCAAATTAACTATCCAGCTCGGAGAACACAACCACATAAAAAAACTTGAATATTTACAATCTAATAGGAAACAGACGGCAGGAGAGGTAGCGAAGTCAGTGCCTCAGGCGAAGGTAAAGAAGAAACGAGATGATGAAGGTATCCACCAACTAACAATAGCAGGTACCCATCACCATCAGTGGGGAGAATCTAAAGGAAATCACCGACATAACTTATCTAACCTACGTAGCTTCATTTCAGCTGTTGCAAGTGGCAAGGATAATGAAGTTAAAGGCAGTCAGGATCGAGAAAGCAAGATAGAGAGATGTTCACTACTCGGAAATCATTGTGGTGTGGAGATCTACAACACTGTGTTTATGTGGACCAAGGTTAGAATTTTAACACTAATGTTAAGAAAGTGATTCTTTGTGGTTCGGAGACTTGAAACACATGTCCAGCAGCCGGCCACAGATTTTTATCATCCTCTGCACCCCTCGCCCTATTAGATGACCGACCAGAAAGCATAAGCAACAAACAACTTTGGTAGGTAGCGCACCATCGAACAAATGGACTGCACACACTCCAAGGAGGACGTTGGGCAACATCACAACCCAGGCCCATGAGTAGATATCAAGTGGGAATCGATAGGCTGGGCTTCCGAGGATGACATCATGGGGACCATGTGTTGGGAAGGAGGTTGGAGCTTGCGGACAGTCACACAACCAGTTGGAAATGATAGTAGGGAACCCAGTTTAACAAGAGATGTGCCGTTGAAAACTTAAGTAAATAAATGAGAATAATAATACTTCGGGTAGTACTCAAAACTCACTTATCATAATGGTGATTACTATCCATTTTTGATGGTTCTATATGCACAGAAGGTTTATGAACATCATTCATTATTCTGTACATTTTATAACTTGGAGAAGTTTCTGGATTATCACGAAATCGCGTATCTATGAAAGAGAAAGTGAGATGAATAGATACTAAATTAGTGTGAAGAAATATCGATTTCAGAAAGGATTTCATCACATACCTATATTGTCTAGGAGAACATCAGAAACTAAGCAGTACTGAGAACGTACAACAAGGGGTTCGAGTAACCTAGTCTAGAGTCTAGTCGACAGTAACTGTCCTCACTTTGGTGCAAAAGTGTTCACAGACTGTCGTTAGATCCAAATCTAATATGGTTCTCTAACTGATGTCAGCTTATAATGAAATTCTCCATGCAATCAAACAAAAATCCCTACAAAAACCAATAGTTGAGAATTAATCTGATGCTCACTGGAGACTGACCCAATTCAGGCAGTTAACCTGGGGTTCTAGTGGGAAGCCGTGACCAGTAGGGTACAGCAGGTTGAAGATGAGGCAATAACTCATCGAAGAGGACATTGCGAAGTGGTCGCGCTATGTCGTGAATTGGCAGAAGTTAGAATTCAAGAACCATTGGATCGGGTCCAAGTGGCTGATGAATGGTCTACGAGCTCGCCTTGTAACCAGGTCCTGTGTTCGAACCCCGGTAGGTGCGTACTGCTGAAGAGTCACAAAACTAGGAAGAAACAGCTGTTTAGTACTCTCAGGTGGTTTTCCAGTGGTTCTCTAACTGATGTCAGCTCATAATGAAATTCTCCATGCAACCAAATCGAATATGGCGCGACTTTACTGACTAGTGCTCCCTATTATTGAAGGCTAATGATGTGTGTGAAGACCTAAGTTGCCTGGTGATCATTGGTTGAAAACGTTTTGAAACTATCACGTGACTGTTAGCATAGAGGTGATAAGTAACGACATTTTTAGCAAAAGAAAGTCATCTGATAAAAGTGTAAAAAACACATGAAGTTGACGGTTATTCATCAGAATACTGTAGGCGTTATTAACATAGTGTTTTTCACTGATTAAAAATGCTCATTAAGATTTTCAAAAGAAAGGATACTGAATAAAGAATACTCTTTTCGATAACCTACTCTTCACCATCAGGCTCTACAGTTATATATACATTATAGTGCATCAATGAATTAGTGTTATGAACAACATTAATGCTGTTTAAATAACATCGAATCATTAATATCAATGGATTACAGTTCAATAGCATCAACATAACAATAAACTGAATGTCAGAAAAATTAGGAAATATAATAATACAAATTCATGAATTTATAGTCTCTACTGAAGGCCGGACAGAGCAGTAGTAGTGGCTAGCTGGACTTGCTTCTTCTGCACACAGACCACCGGTTGTTTAGGGCGAGTCGCGATAGCTTCTGCTGTTTGGAGTATGCGGCACCTGGATGTTTTTGGCAATTTATTTAGCACCCGGTAGATAACAGAGAAAAATTCTTCAATGCTGGCTGGCTTTGTGGCCGGTTTGGACCAGATGGTCCAATATCGAACTGTTAATGGTTTTCACTACACCTTCACTTAACCATAGTGGGAGATGTTCCCAAGAGAACACGAAAAATCAAGTTCCTAGAGCAACGGCCAATATAACTCTACCACAAGAGCAGCTGAATTGGTAGATACAATTCGAAATGGCCAGTATATGTACTTCACCTTTCAGTCAAGGGAGCACCATCGGTCGTGTAGAGAATAAAACGTGTAGTTCATCAGCATTAAAAGTTATTTGAACTGATTTTCTTAATTTACTCGTAATTATCTCACTTGGTATATCGCCCTTGAACTGTAGTCGTGTATAAAGAGGCTTCTTGTTTACAGATAGTGAGTAGTCCTTTTCAACTTTTATAGTCATATGTTTCCTGATGAATTCGTCTGGATAGCTATTTTCGATCGAAGTATCATAAACAATGCTTAATTCATCTTCAATTACTTCTTCTGAACATACAGTTCTAACTCTGTAGCTGAGGGTCTTCACTAAATTTCTTTTGTACTTGATAGGAACGAAGCTGTGAAAATGTGTATATTGTCCTGTCCAAGTACTTTTTCTATGCAAATTTCTTTTTATGCTACCATCTGGTTTTCTTGTAAGTAGGGCATCCAGGAAGGCAGTTAATCCTTTTTTGGGATTCCTCTTCGCATGTGAATTTCATAGCCGAATGTACTTCATTGAATTCAGAATCATTATCACAAAGAATGAAGGTGTCATCCATATACACTGGCAATAAAATGAGAACTTACTGGTAAGGGTGTTCAAAGGTCCATTTTTTAGTTTACTTAGAAAGATATCAGCTAGAATGGGACCCAATGGGGAGCCCATCGCCACCACGTCCACTTGTCTGTAAATTGTGCCGTCAAATTTGAAATTTACAATCATGGTATACACCTTAATAACAAAATTCTTTTAGGATTTCAGTATGGATGCCAATGTTTATCGACTGGTTATCCAGTGATCACAAGAAATGAACACGCATTTGGGGAAGTGCTACAAACTTAAAACGAGCAGGTTGTTCAATGTATCTGATGACTTTTATTTACTCCTCTAAGGGAGATTTCATTCATTGTTTTGCATTCCGAGTAGAACATGGGGCCTCAATCCTTTCAGATTTCAAAAGTAGCTTTATCGATTTTACAAAGGAGGGTTGCCAGCCGTATAGCCGACCTTCCCTTGTATCCGCGCTTACTGTCAACTAGTAAATTAGGCAAGGCTACAGAGTTTTTCGACCAGCGATGCAACCATGACCTCTTGTGCTGGACCAACGACACTATATAGACGATTCCAACTCTACAAGGCGTTACTTGTAACTTGAATAAGGTAGTGACTGACTACTGAGAGAGTGAGAAAATTCCAGAGTAAATCATTCCCCTCCAAGTTACACTTTATGAATTAAAGAGTAGATTAAACAACGTGTTGTGCAATGTGTTGGTTGGGAATCTAAAGACGGCCTCCCAAGTGGTCAGTGAGCAATCTGCCACTGAGCGAACCTTTTCTAGTTAATATGGAATAAAGACACACAAGTAAATTGAGTTGGTTTTAGGATTTCAACAAGAACTGACATAGGTTAGAGGACTACTGGAAAACCTGCAGGGAGTACTAGGTAACTTTTTCGTCCATCTGTCTGTTGTCGATATAGAACTTTGCACTGATGTGCACCAGTTCAAGTCGCCAAACTCCTTGTAGCACACAAAGCAAGAGAAGAAAGTAGAAGAAATGAATAATAGAGACAGTAGACAGGGATATGAGACAAAAGGAATAGTAATAACGAAGAACAATATAGTTTTATTGGGTATTATAATTCACAAGGAGTGGATGCATCTGCACCAGACATTGAGAACGATCACTTTGAGCCATATCACCGACTGTTTCCAGCCATTGGTTTTTACCCTCCCGAGGACCCCAACCATGAAGTATACATCCCCGACGTCGCTTAAACTAACTGTTGTGCATTTCATTGACTGGTGCCATCTCTTGGTTTGACCACCGCCAGCTCTTTTCCAGCCTGACCTTATGACTAGGCATACGTAACACATGTCCTAACCATCTCAGTCGATGTAACTTCACAGCCTTGTCGATTGATTTCCCCTCCTTACCTAGCACTCGACCGAAGCCTAACCTCAATATTGCTCACCCTATTATACCATTTCACACAGGAGATAGAACGCAGACACCTATGATCAAAGACAGCTAGCCAGGCTTTACATGTCTTCCACTCTCAATGGCCAGGTCTGACAACTGTTTCGTCCTATTTTTGGACTCCTCACCAGTGAGCAGCCACACCGCAGGGTCCTAATCCAGGACCTTCTGATTAAAAGGCGAACACATTGACCATTAAGTCACTAGCCAGCCCATGAATTCCAACCTCTGCCAATTCACGATATACCATGACTGGCACTAGCAACGGTGGAGAGTATTTCGCCTCACACCCGACCTGCGGTACACCGTTGGTCACGAATTCCCACAAGTGAATCGAATTGAAAAAAATATATAATGCCTGAATGAAATACTACAGATTTCTAATCTTATTACTTACTTGCTGAACAAAGTGCATAATTTCTCCACATATTTGTTGGATTTTTATCATAGTTATATAAGCTGACATTCTGATCATTTACAGTATTTGTTGTGTAATTATCAGTATCAAAGCTGTCCAACATTTCTGTGTTTATGAAGGACGGCAAATCTTGATTTTCTGCTTTTACTTCTTCTCTAGCGTATATTTCACTGAATCAATTTTCAAAATAGAGAAAGTATTCAAGAATGAATAGAATAAAAGGAAGACAGTTCAAATGAACGGTCGTCAAGATTTGACAGAATAGTTCTAAAATATTTGGATAAAGTTAGAATTGATGGGCCATTTGATTCCGTTCTAGTTGCTGAATGGTCACTGGGCTCACCTAGTGATTTGAAGGTCCTGCGTTCGATCTCTGGATGGGAGCATCGACGCGTACTGTAGAAGAGATCCATACAAGGACGAAACAGATCTCCAGTACTCCTTGGAAGCTTTCAATGGTTCTCTAACTGAAGTCACTTTTTTCATCAAAATTTAGATTATAAATGAACTTGTCTTACTTTTTGTAAAAAATTATATTTGTAAAATCTCAGCGAGATTGAAATGAGTAATTCCAACGTTTTGTTCGGCTATCTGGTCCGAACTTCTTCAGGGAAATTAATCGAAATTAACATAACAGAGGTTTATATATAAAAGGGAACTTTGGAATTACTCATTTCAATCTCGCTGAGATTTTACACAAATATAATTTTTTTACAAATGTCTACTTCTCACTCGGTGCCCTATTATATTTTAGAACTACTCCGTCAAATCTTGACGACAGTTCATTTGATGAATTTATTTTGCAATCGAATTAAATTAACAAAGAAACTGAGTAATTGGCACAATCATCGCGTTTCCACTCTCCGTTGTCTGCAACAGAATAATGCATATCCTAAATCCGTAGCTGTCGAGTCACCTAACCACTCTCCAGTAGGCCGAATAAAGCAGCTCAATTTTTCAAAAAGAAGACAAAGCAATAAGTTCGACAGGGTGTATTTCAACTAAACTCTAATCCTAAACACCATAATTTTGAAAATACGTCTAATCATAAAATTCTAGATACTAACAGTTTGAACAGACATGAAGGTGTGGTCTTGTTAGCTGATACATAGCAAATCCTGATTAATAAATAAAAAGTGGATATGTATTACTAATTATTATTACTTGGTCAAAATTCCCGATTGTCTACATCTTCTTTTGGAGAGGCTAACAAATGTTTTACAACTGTTTACACACACACACTCTGTTTAAAGTGTTTTCACAAAAGTGGACCAATATTTGTAAGTCCGAGGTCAAATTGTGATCACAGCTCACACAATTTTGTTTATTAAACATATTGATGCCTGTTTCATGACTCATCTGATTGCAAAAAGTTTTTAAAAACAAGATATATTCCTTTTATGTATATAAACCTCTGTTATGTTAATTTCGATTAATTTCCCTGAAGAAGTTCGGACCAGATTGCCGAACGAATCTCGCTGAGATTTTACCAATATAATTTCTTACAAAAAGGAAGACAAGTTCATTTATACACTAAATTTTGATGAAAAAAGTGACTTCAGTTAGAGAACCATTGAAAGCTTCCAAGGAGTACTGGATATGTGTTTCGTCCTTGTGTGGATCTCTTCAACAGTACGCGTCTATGATCCCATCCAGAGATCGAACCCAGGACCTTCAAGTCACAAGGTGAGCCCAATGACCATTCAGCAACTAGAACGGAATCAAATGGCCCATCAACTCTAACTTTTTGTTAATTCATGATATATACATAACGTTATAGCCAGACAGTATCATCAGTCACATCCAGCTTGGTGGACCTCACTCTGGTTACGACTTTCCAGTGGAAGTTCAGACAAATTCATACTGTCGTTAGTCGCTAGTAAACAGCAGATTAGTTTTCTACTGCTGGTTCAAAAGGATTTCATTGATAATTTCAAGCTTGGCCATGAAGTGATTTCAGTTAGAGAACCAGTGAAAACCAGAGGTGGCTGTTTCACTCTTGTTTGAGATTCTTCAGCAGCACATATCCGTAACTCCTGCACACAAATATTATAGACAGTTAAGGACAAATACTGTCAATCACGAATTGACAGAAGTTAGTTAGGATTCACGAGCTGCCCATTGGATTTAGTTCCAATAGCCGGATGACCAATGTGCTGGTTTTATAATCTGAAGGTCTTGGGTTCAATCCTCGGTGAGGTCATGAATGTGTACTGTTGAAAAGTGCTGTACTCCACCAGTGGTTTTCAATAGATCTCTAACTCTGGTCATTTCATCATCAAACTAGAAATGTTTAAGAATAATAATAATAATAATTTAGTTTGAGGCTTATTACTGAGATCTATAAAAAACAAAATATTTGAGCAAAGAATATTCCTGTCGACAATTTCCTCTTCTAGAATTGTAGTCAATAACAATATTAGTGTTTTCTTTAAATAATATCGTTTTGTAAAGTAAGATTACAATGGAATTACATTTCATTAAAAATGCATATATTATAATAAAAACAATAATAATAATAAAAATTAAAACAATTAGTCCCTTTGATAAATTTGAATAAGGCATTAAGCAGACAAATTTCGCGAGATGATATCGTCTCATTTCGTAGTTTCTTTACAACCGCTTTACAACTAACATGGTTAACAATAATAAAATAAAATAAAGTTCATGACAATTACTCAGTTAAATAAAAAACACAAAATTACATACTAATGACCAATCATATTTAGATAGGTCATGTAGTCCACGGTAGGCGAAGATTGAAGTCTATTGTTTTTTGTACACACAGGTTAGGCTATATGTGATTAATCCAAAGTGCTTCTATCACCTTCAATAACCTTAAATTAGAGTTATATGATGAAATAATTGTGAAACAGTCCTTAATATTGATTTTGTGACCTGACATAAATAAGTGCTTTGCAGTGGATGATGCTGGATTTCTATTCAGATTAATCGCATTAGGATTTTCTATATGTTTTAATGACCATTTTGGAACAAGCTCTTTTCGACGACATTGCAACATTCCATTGGTTCTACCTATATAGGCTTGTGTCACCACAGCAGCAGGTGAACTTGTAGATACAGTGTGAAGTAGAGTTCACAGAATTTCGTCCTTTAATCGTAGGTAAAGGGATCAAAAATGCTCGGCAAGTGAGAAAAAGAGATGGACTACATGACCTATCTAAATATGACTGGTCATCAGTATGTACTTTTGTGTTTTTTATTTAACTGAGTAATTGTCATGAACTTTATCTTATTGTATTATTGTTAACCATGTTAGTTGTAAAGCGGTTGTAAAGCAACTACGAAATGACGATATCATCTAGCGGCGAAATTTGTCTTCCTAATGCCTTACTCAATAATAAAAATATAATAGCAAATAGGATATCAAATAAAATTAAGGAAATTTCTACAACAAATTGAGGATCATTCAAACCTAGATGGCCAGCGGGGTAAGGACAATGTTTGAACTAGCTTCTTCTTTTGGACACATAAATTAGGCTTCTTAATGTGAATCCCAATGGCAAGTCTCAGCAATATTTAGTAGTCGAAGGTAAGATTTGTTGCTTGGTGTGAGGTAGATTACTTTGAAAGCTGCCTCGTTGACATCAATCTTGTGTTGTGTATCCACAAGATGAGATAGAATAGCGCTATGTGAATAGATTTTGTTTGTCCTTTACTTAACCAATCACTATGCAGGAGGTGATATTGGGAAATCCGACGAGAAACACGCCTAATTGTACGGCCTATGTAACTGGCTCACTCCACAAGAGCAGTTAAATTGGTAGTATACACATGGAGTAACTGTGAAAGCTACCTCGGTCTTTGAAGATCAACAGTCTAACCGACTCATTTGCATTAGCCGCTTATCAATCAAGGTATATCTCATCTCCACACTGCAAACTTCCAACCACAGGTCAAAGTCTTTACAAAGAAAACTGCCATCGAAGATCTGAACTCCTTATGTCTTCCACTTCCAGCATTCATTTCTTATATCCGTAGAATAGCGATTTGATTCCTGATGTCAGCTCATGTAGAATAGATCGTATGTTTTCTGACGAGGAATCAGTCACCGCGTAAACTAATTTTTTTATTTTTTTATTACATCTTGATGCCACACCGTATCTTTTGGTACAGGTATGGAATATTCAGCATGTGATATCGATAGCCCAAATTTTGCAGGCCGACCATAGATATCAGGTTTGCGTCGGCAGGGGATCGAACCTCGGACCATGTACATGGTCGGCGAGAGTCCTAACCACTGTGCCACCGACGCACGATATAACTCCTAAAAAAACAAGTGATGCGGGGAAAATATTCCACTGTTTTACAATTTACTCTTAAACTAAGAGTTCTTCCACACGATCTGTGTAGAAGTATTTGAAATTTCCAATGTGCAAAATGCATGTCAGACACACTTAGATATCTCAAGAGAATCCTCATCGAGAATTGTTATCCAGAAAGATTTATTGCAAAATCTATGAATCCTAGACTGCAAAAGCCGCCCATGCTTAGCGTCCCAAAAAAACTACTCTATATGAACCTTCAATTCAATGGAGATTCATCAGCGGAAACACTAAAAAATCGACTGCAGCACTCACTTAAGAAGACCTTCTTCGCAGCTGAACTACTACTAACCTTCTCCACAAAACCTATGATTTATGTGAACGTGAAGGATAAGCTACCGCTGCTGGCCTCATCAGTGTGTATCTACCAATTCACCTGTTCGTGTGGAACCAGGTACGTGGGCCGTACCCAGCGCTCGCTTTCCAAACGTATCATCGAACACTTACCAACATGGTTTTACAAAGGAGAAAATCGATGCCCCCGCAGCTCTATCTTAGAACATATGATAGATTCCGGACACCAAGCTACACCGCAAACAAACTTCAAAGTCGTCTACAGAGTAAGAAGTAGTCTTCCTAAAGGTGTACGAATCAGACTTCTTCAAACTGCAGAAGCAATGGCGATTCACTTGCTAAGCCCTGAACTCTGCATACAGAAGAAGTTCGTTCAATCACTACACTTGCAATGGACGTAATCTATCTTATTCCCCGACAAGTAAATTCTACCTAGTCTTCTTTTTTTCTGTCTCTTCATTAGTATTATTTTGTCTTCTCAATTGTAATATTTTACATTTTCAACTTTCTTGTTCTCTACCCCCACCCAA